GTTGTAGCATTTCAAATATATGTCAATATATTTGGGAAAATATTTTTTAAAATATATTTTTAAAATATATTTTTCTTCCATGTGGGAAAGCACAATACAAGCAGAATTAAGGTTTCAGGGTCTCACCGCAGTAATTACTCTGGATTCAGCGCCTCGCCGGTGCGCATAAATGAATAAAGCAAAAATTGCCTTGTGATAGACGTTCATGTCTGTCTGTCCAGTCTCTAGATCAGGACAGGAGGAGAGGTAGGATCCTAAAAATAAAATTGGTATATAAAAGATAAAATAAAATCGCCATGGCGATAAACTAATTAAAAATTATAATTCATCATTTAAATTTACGTTGGGGACGTAGCCAAAACTGCAGTCATAGGAAATATACCCCGCCAACCTGCAAAGAGATTAGCGCCATGGTTGATAAAGTAACTCACAGACCGCGAGCAGCAAGAGCCACCTAATTTTTTTTTTTTTTTAAGTGTACCTGAACAAAAAGCAAGCGATGGTGCCGCTGCGCAGCTGGTTCAGCAAGGTTTCGCACACCGCGATATCTGGGACACTGGTGACGCCGTCTGTGATTACAATGATGCCTGCGCAATTTACAGAAGAATAAATATCAGGATTCCTCAAACATCCAGACAGAATACAATCTACATCTAAAAGCTTACATAATAGTCACCAAAAGGAACAGACTGGCTCACCTGCGCTGGAGTTGGCCGGCAGTAGTTTTGTAAGGCCAGGAATACCCTGCCGGATCATACTAACCAGTTCCGATATCCGCCGTCACCATGGAAAAAACACCCATCTTTTTGCTTGGCTGTTGGTTTGCATATTGAGGTAGGCAGTCCTAGCGAGACAAACAATCCAATTTGTTTTGTCTGTCACAAAAAATAGCCGTCACTTGTCAGAACTTCACGTCTTAACATAGTTAGTCTGGCTGAAAAAAACAAAAGTCCATCCAGTTCAAACATAAAAAAAAAAAAAAAAAAAAAAAAAGAAGTTATAATCCGACACCCACAGTTGATTCAGAGGAAGTCAAAAAATACCAGCAAAGCACAATCCAATTTGCTCCTGCAGGGGAAAAAATTCCTTCCTGATCCCCCGAGAGGCAATCGGATATTCCCTGGATCACCTTTCCCTATAAATGTTATATCCAGTTATATTCTGTGTATCCAAGAAAGGATCCAGGACTTTCCTACAGCAATCCACTGAGCTGGCCACACCCAACTCTGGAGGGAGTCTATTCCACATTCTCACAGCTCTTACTGTGAAGAAACCTTTCCGTGTTTGGAGATTACATTTATTTTTCCTCCATTATAGTCCTCTTAGGCAAGACAGTGTGCATTCGGAACCATGAGCACCCACCCACCTGGGTGTTATATTGAGAGCAGAGGTTGTGTCCCAATGACATGAATGGGAGTGCCTGCACTGGGATGCACGCAACACCTCTACATCCACGTGCAGACAAACACAGCCCTTGCACAGGGGTATGCTGTAGTACGCCCATGTGAGCCTTAAAATTTGAAAGATTTGACCCCCTCAATGACCAGGCCATATTTTTTGCTATACTGCACTGTGCTACTTTAACTGATAATTGAGCGGTCATGCAACGCTTTACCCAATTTATATAAAAATTTTTTTCACACAAATAGAGCTTTCTTTTGGTGATATTTGATCACCACTGGGTTTGAAATTCGATACGAATGAAAAAAGACCGAACATTTTTAAAAAAAAACAAAAAAAACAATATTTTTTACTTTCTGCTATAAACATATCCAATATATATATATATATATATATATATATATACACATACACACACACACACACACACACAGGAGATGACCAGAGACTGCGGACACGGCACAGGGGATGACGAGAGACTGCGGACACGGCACAGGGGATGACCAGAGACTGCGGACACGGCACAGGGGATGACCAGAGACTGCGGACACGGCACAGGGATGACCAGAGACTGCGGACACGGCACAGGGGATGACCAGAGACTGCGGACACGGCACAGGGGATGACCAGAGACTGCGGACACGGCACAGGGGATGACCAGAGACTGCGGACACGGCACAGGGGATGACCAGAGACTGCGGACACGGCACAGGGGATGACCAGAGACTGCGGACACGGCACAGGGGATGACCAGAGACTGCGGACACGGCACAGGGGATGACCAGAGACTGCGGACACGGCACAGGGGATGACCAGAGACTGCGGACACGGCACAGGGGATGACCAGAGACTGCGGACACGGCACAGGGGATGACCAGAGACTGCGGACACGGCACAGGGGATGACCAGAGACTGCGGACACGGCACAGGGGATGACCAGAGACTGCGGACACGGCACAGGGGATGGCACTGTACTACTTGTGGGGGGTGATGGAGATTTTTTGATTTTTTTTTACACTGATTGCTTTTACACCCATAAAGGCTGTAAAAGCAATCATTTCTCCTTATCTCTGGCTGCATTCTTGCAGCCATTGAGAAATACTGTGTGAGCTGTGACTGGTCACAGCTTGTCACATGGTACAAGGCTGTTGTGACTAGCCCTGTACCAGGTGATCTCTGTGATCATTCACAGATTTCACACGTAGTAAGCAATGATGTCAGAAGTGACATCCTTGCTTACTACTCTGCATGTGATCACTGATTGGCCAATCAGTGATCATATGATCGGGACCTCGTACAGAGGTCCCGTCCGACGGTCGGCGTTCCACTGTGTCCAGAGGATTGCGGTGCTGTGCGCTCCCAAGGAGAGCGCACAAGCAGGGTGAGGGAGGCCGTTTATAAACGGCCACCTGACCCCGCACTGCCACCATCCTGCTGTTTATATACAACGGCCGGACGGGAGGTGGTTAAAAGCTTGGAGGGAAGGGCATGTGATCATGGGGTCTCTCTTTGGAGGTGCCGCAACCTAGTACGTGGGTGGACCTTCCCTCAGAAGGTCCCTGAAGAACAGAGTCTAGCTGGTTTCATCTCAGTGGACCAAGAGTACTCCCAAGTGTCCCCGAGATTTCTCCAAAGATCGGTTTTACGCCTACCTGAGTGAGCGGTCGATACTGCTGTTGAAGCATCTCAGCGATCTTATTCTCGAAGGCGCCCAGCTGCAGGTGGACATGCTGGAGAAAGGCCGGCAGCTTCTGCTCCTCCAGGCGACAACCCTGGACCAGAACCTGCAGAAGGAACAGAGGAGCTAGTTCCTGCTCTACAGAACCTGCACACCCCAAGCTGCTGAGGTACTACAAGTCTCAGGTACACGGTGGAATTTGCAGTTTCAAAACAGCTGCAGTGTCTGACAAAGATAATACTGTGCTTAGTGATCACTCTACTGGTGCCGTCTGCGTCTGTTACCTGATGACTCTGCAGACCGATGATAGAAGAATAGGCCTGGATGGTGACATAGATCTCTGGCTGAAAAACCACATTGGATCCGGGGATGATGAACGGCCGGAGAAGACCCAGTAGGCAGCGTGACAGGGAATGGAAGATCTCATCAAAGATTATTTCTTCTGTGGAGTCATCCTGTGATTGGAGGAAAAGACAAGTCATCAGGGAGAAGAGTGAAGGGAAATCAAGGACAGAGCATTAGGCTGAACAGGATTTAACAAAACGTTTTATCGATCTCCTCTTTATAAGGGTTCTCTGCCTTAAAGCTGAACTCCAGGAAACCAAAACATTCTCCCTTGCAGTGCAGTTGTGCCAGTAGGGGGTGGTAAAAGCAACTTTGTGCCCTTTGAGACCCCTGTGTCTCCATGGAGCACCATGCCTCCAGTGACCTCCGAGACCCCTGCGCCTCCAGTGACCCCTGTGCCTCCAGTGACCCTGAGAGCTCCTGTGCCTCCAGTGACCCTGAGAGCTCCTGTGCCTCCAGTGACCTCTGAGACCCGTGTCTCCATGGAGCACCATGGCTCCAGTGACCTCTGAGACCCCTGTGTCTCCATAGAGCACCATGCCTCCAGTGACCTCTGAGACCCCTGTGTCTCCATAGAGCACCATGCCTCCAGTGACCTCTGAGACCCCTGTCTCTCCATGGAGCACCATGCCTCCAGTGACCCCCCGAGAGCTCCTGTGCCTCCAGTGACCCCCCCGAGAGCTCCTGTGCCTCCAGTGAACCCCCCCCGAGAGCTCCTGTGCCTCCAGTGAACCCCCCCGAGAGCTCCTGTGCCTCCAGTGACCCCCCCGAGAGCTCCTGTGCCTCCAGTGCCCCCTCCCGAGAGCTCCTGTGCCTCCAGTGACCCCCCCCCCCGAGAGCTCCTGTGCCTCCACTGACCCCCCCCCTGAGAGCTCTTGTGCCTCCAGTGACCCCCCCGAGAGCTCCTGTGCCTCCAGTGACCCCCCCGAGAGCTCCTGTGCCTCCAGTGACCCCCCCCCCCCGAGAGCTCCTGTGCCTCCAGTGACCCCCCCGAGAGCTCCTGTGCCTCCAGTGACCCCCCCGAGAGCTCCTGTGCCTCCAGTGACCCCCCCGAGAGCTCCTGTGCCTCCAGTGACCCCCCCGAGAGCTCCTGTGCCTCCAGTGACCCCCCCCGAGAGCTCCTGTGCCTCCAGTGACCCCCCGAGAGCTCCTGTGCCTCCAGTGACCCCCCCCGAGAGCTCCTGTGCCTCCAGTGACCCCCCCGAGAGCTCCTGTGCCTCCAGTGACCCCCCCGAGAGCTCCTGTGCCTCCAGTGACCCCCCCGAGAGCTCCTGTGCCTCCAGTGACCCCCCGAGAGCTCCTGTGCCTCCAGTGACCCCCCGAGAGCTCCTGTGCCTCCAGTGACCCCCCGAGAGCTCCTGTGCCTCCAGTGACCCCCCGAGAGCTCCTGTGCCTCCAGTGACCCCCCGAGAGCTCCTGTGCCTCCAGTGACCCCCCGAGAGCTCCTGTGCCTCCAGTGACCCCCCGAGAGCTCCTGTGCCTCCAGTGACCCCCCGAGAGCTCCTGTGCCTCCAGTGACCCCTAAGACATGGATGGATTGGGCCGTTTGTTTTGAATATTAGAAATTAATTAAATTGTGTTTTTTGTTTAGAGTGCTCAGATGCAGTGAAGTTCTGCTTTAAGCACTTCCAGTTCGGACCAATTTTCAGCGCTATCACACTTTGAATGACAATTGTGCGGTCATGCAACACTGCACCCATATGAATTCTTTAGCATTTTTTTGAGACAGATAAAAACTTTATTTTGGTGGTATTTATTCACCACTTGTATTTTTTTTTTTGCTATATAAATGAAAAAGTCCAAACATTTTGGAAAAAAAAAAAAAGTGTTTTTCTTATAAAATTTTTGCAAATAAAATAAAACCGTAAATAAAAAAAATAATCTCTCTTCATAAACCTTGGCCAAAATGTATTCATCTTTTTAGTAAAAAAGAAAAAAAAAAAAACGAAAATTAGTTTATAACCAAAAAAAAATAATTTTTCAAAACTTTTTTTTTACATTTTTATAATATTATTATTTATTTTTTTTGTTTTGTTACATACCATCACCCTAGCAGTGCAGTGTCACCATAGCGACACTGTACTACTTGTGGGGGGTGATGGAAGATTTATTTTTTTACACCGATTGCTTTTACACCCACAAAGGCTGTAAAAGCAATAATTTCTCCTTCTCTCTGGCTGCATTCTTGCAGCCATTGAGAAATGCTGTGCGAGCTGTGATTGGTCACAGCTATCACATGGTACAAGGCTGTTGTGAATAGCCCTTTATCATGTGACCTCTGTGATCATTCACAGAATTCACACGTAGTAAGCAATGATGTAGGAAGTGACATCTTGCTTACACCTATTCATGTGATCACTGATTGGACAATCAGTGATCACATGATCGGGACCTCACACAGAGGTCCCGTACAGCGATCGGTGTTCCTCCGAACACTGCAGGAACTGGATCGTGGTGCCGCGAGCTCCCAGGGAGCGCGCACAGGCAGTGAATGCGGAGGCCGTTTATAAACGGCCACCCGCTCCTGCACTGCTCCTGTCCAGCCGTTTATGTACATGGGCCGGATGGGAAGGGGTTAACTATTGGGTGAGCTCTTATTTAACACAGAAGATGCTGGTGAGGGACAAATCAAAACGCAGGTAATCGCTCCAGGAGCGATTACATGTGACCAGCCACAATTGGTTTGTGGGATCAAGCAGCCTTCCATGGGGCTGCCTCCTGCAGCTATTCACTGTGAATCCCCGCTGGGGGATAGAAGATATAGAAGCATCACAAATATTTTTAACAAGACAGTGAATGTATGCAATATCTTTAGTTCATTACCACAATTCCTGTAGAAGGACTGAGATCCAACTCGATGACAAATCTGTACTGCCGGGCCAGAAAAGTCACCCATGTCGATGGCACAAGGAGGAAAGGACCGGGGCGGACAGGCTCATCGGGCTGCCATCCATGAGGTATGACACTGACCACTTCCAGTTCATCGTCATGTAAACCCTAAAAAATAAATATACACAATGGCCAAGTCAGAGATCACAGGCAAAAAATAAAAAATAAATTATATATATATATATATATATATATATATATACACACATACACACACATACACATATATACACACACACACACACACACATGCAGTGGGGCAAAAAAGTATTTAGTCACCACCAATTGTGCAAGTTCTCCCACTTACAAAGATGAGAGAGGCCTGTAATTGGCATCATAGGGAGACCTCAACTATGAGAGACAAAATGAGAAAACAAATCCAGACAATCACATTGGCTGATCTGGAAAGAATTTATTTGCAAATTATGGTGGAAAATAAGTATTTGGTCACCTACAAACAAACAAGATTTCTGGCTCTCACAGACCTGGACCTTCTTCTTTAAGAGGCTCCTCTGTCCTGCACTCATTACCTGTATCAATGGCACCTGTTTGAACTTGTTATCAGTATAAAAGACACCTGTCCGCAACCTCAAACAGTCACACTCCAAACTCCACTATGGTGAAGACCAAAGAGCTGTCGAAGGACACCAGAAACAAAATTGTGGACCTGCACCAGGCTGGGAAGACTGAATCTGCAATAGGCAAGCAGCTTGGTGTGAACAAATCAACTGTGGGAGCAATAATTAGAAAATGGAAGACATACAAGACCACTGATATTCTCCCTCCATCTGGGGCTCCACGCAAGATCTCACCCCGTGGGGTCAAAATGATCACAAGAATGGTGAGCAAAAATCCCAGGACCACACGGGGGGACCTAGTGAATGACCTGCAGAGAGCTGGGACCAACGTAACAAAGGCTGCCATCAGTAACACACTACACCGCCAGGGACTCAGATCCTGCAGTGCCAGACGTGTCCCCCTGCTTAAGCCAGTACATGTCCGGCCCGTCTGAGGTTTTCTAGAGAGCATTTGGATGATCCAGAAGAGGATTGGGAGAATGTCATATGGTCAGATGAAACCAAAATAGAACGGTTTGGTAGAAACACAAACTCGTCGTGTTTGGAGGAGAGAGAATGCTGAGTTGCATCCAAAGAGCACCATACCTACTGTGAAGCATGGGGGTGGGCAACATCATGCTTTGGGGCTGTTTCTCCGCAGAGGGACCAGGACGACTGATCCATGTACAGACAGAATGAATGGGGCCATGTATCGTGAGATTTGGAGTGCAAACCTCCTTCCATCAGCAAGGGCATTGAAGATGAAACGTGGCTGGGTCTTCCAACATGACAATGATCCCAAACATACCACCCGGGCAACGAAGGAGTGGCTTCGTAAGAAGCATTTCAAGGTCCTGGAGTGGCCTAGCCAGTCTCCAAATCTCAACCCCATAGAAAACCTTTGGAGGGAGTTGAAAGTCCGTGTTGCCCAGCTACAGCCCCAAAACATCACTGCTCTAGAGGAGATCTGCATGGAGGATGGGCCAACATACCAGCAACAGTGTGTGCCAACCTTGTGAAGACTTCCAGGAAACGTCTGACCTCTGTCATTGCCAACAAAGGATATATAACAAAGTATTGACATGAACTTTTCATATTCACCAAATACTTATTTTCCACCATAATTTGCAAATAAATTCTTTCCAGATCAGCCAATGTGATTGTCTGGATTTGTTTTCTCATTTTGTCTCTCATAGTTGAGGTCTCCCTATGATGCCAATTACAGGCCTCTCTCATCTTTGTAAGTGGGAGAACTTGTACAATTGGTGGGGGGCTAAATACTTTTTTGCCCCACTGTATGATTTTGCACAGGAGGGCCGCCCTGTAGAAGTAAAACTGCTATAGGGCGGACAAGAACATAATAGCTCACACATACCAGCTCTGATTCGGGAACCGAGGAGATGGACTGATAGAGGTTTGACAGGAACCAAGCCAGGCGAACGTTTCGGGAGATCCGGTAATCCTTCTTCATGAGCAGGAACACCTGCCCTGCTTCTTCCACCTGAACATAAAAAAACCCCACCGGATTACACGTCTGAATGATATTATGTTCGTATTCACATCTGTTCAGTATTGGCCCGAGCAACACAGGCAACATTTCATCGTTCAGGAGCCCCGCTAATACTGCCCACCATTCAGAAAAATACGCCATAAACAGATTCAACTTCAGATTCTTCAATCGGTCCTAAAATAATGTTCAAGTCAAAGTCAGACTTCTTACGCCTTTTATGTACGTTTTATTAAATGAATGAAAGTGATATAATAAATTTAAAAAAAAAAAAAAAAAAAAAAGGACTTGAGGAAAGGAATGTGAAGAATGTAAAGAATGGGGAAGGAATGTGAGGGGGGGGGGGGGGGGGGTGGGGGGGGGGAAGACCGCTCAGCGTACAACCATCCCGGCTGTATTATTTCGTCTGTATCAGAACACACGTCACTGTGAATCCCCGTCCCTGTCAGTGTATTATTTTTTATTTTATTACAGGTACTTATATAGCGCCGTCAATGTACGCAGCACTTTACATATATATTGTACATTTACATCAGTCCCCGCCCCCGAGGAGTGTACAAACTAAGGTCCCTAACCCTCAAGGGGCGTACAATCTAAGGTCCCTAACCCTCAAGGGGCGTACAATCTAAGGTCCCTAAACCCTCAAGGGGAGTACAATCTAAGGTCCCTAACCCTCAAGGGGAGTACAATCTAAGGTCCCTAACCCTCAAGGGGCGTACAATCTAAGGTCCCTAACCCTCAAGGGGGGTACAATCTAAGATCCCTAACCCTCAAGGGGCGTACAATCTAAGGTCCCTAACTCACATTCATACATACACATACCAGGGACAATTTATACAGGAGCCATATTTTAAATTTTTTATTTTTTTTTTTACATTTCCTCAGTTACTTCCTGGTTTCTGGCTTAGGCAAATGATGTCATATATCCTTGGAGTCTTCAGAAGAAGAGGAGGAGTTTTCTCAGCTAAGCACACCCTCCTGCTTATACGCCTGAGCTAAGGACAGATGGATTCCAGGAAGTAATTGCTACATGAATCATCTGCCCTTACCAAACATGGCTGCAGCTAGATATGCGTTTTTCAAAATGAGTTCTCAGCAAAATAAACCACGGAGACACGGATGGATGGGGGCGCTTGCTCTGAATGGTAAAAGTGAATTAGATAGCATTTTTGGTTTGAGGTTCTCAGATGTGGTGTAGCTCCTCTTTAACCGCTTGACCTCTGGAAGATTTACCCCACTATCTGAAAAAGGACTTTTTTTGTGATACAACACTGCGTTACTTAAAATGACAATTTTTTCAGTTACTTCCCGGTTTCTGGCCTAGGCAAAATTTATGTATTTCAGGTACTTATATAGCGCCATCAATTTACGCAGCACTTTACATATATATTATACATTCACATCAGTCCCCGCCCCCGAGGAGTATACAATCTAAGGTCCCTAAGCCTCAAGGGGCGTACAATCTAAGATCCCTAACCCTCAAGGGGCGTACAATCTAAGGTCCCTAACCCTCAAGGAGCGTACAGTCTAAGGTCCCTAACTCACATTCATACATACACATACTAGGGACAATATAGACAGGAGCCAATTAACCTCCCAGCATGTCTTTGGAGTGTGGGAGGAAACTGGAGTACTCGGAGGAAACCCACGCAGGCACAGGGAGAACATGCAAACTCCCGGCAGGTGCTGTGGTTGGGATTCGAACCAACGACCAGAGTGCTGCTAAGCAGAAGTGTTAGCCATTTAGCCACCGTGCTGCCAGTAGCCAAATGATGTCATACATCCCAGGAGTCTTCAGGAGAGGATGGGTTTTCTCAGCTAAGCACACCCTCCTGCCTGCCTGCATGCCTGAGCTAAGGGCCTTTCAGCCAATAATGGAATCTTCTACTCCTCCTACCAGTCCATCCCTCACAGTTACTACCTTTTGTACCAATAGCCCCTCCCTCTTAGATTGTAAGCTCCCAGGATCAGGCCCTCCTATCCCTCTTGTATTGAACTGTATTGTTGCTGTATTGTCTCCCGTTATATTGTACAGCGCTGAGCAAACTGTTGGCACCATATATCCTGTATAATAATAATAATAATATATAAATCCTGTATAATAATAATAATATAAATCCTGTATAATAATAATATAAATAATAATATAAATCCTGTATAATAATAATAAGAATATAAATCCTGTATAATAATAATAATAATATAAATCCTGTATAATAATAATAATAATATAAATCCTGTATAATAATAATAATAATAAATATAAATCCTGTATAATAATAATAATAAATATAAATCCTGTATAATATTAATAATAATAATATATAAATCCTGTATAATAATAATATATAAATCCTGTATAATAATAATATATAAATCCTGTATAATAATAATATAAATCCTGTATAATAATATAAATCCTGTATAATAATATAAATCCTGTATAATAATAATAATAATAATATATAAATCCTGTATAATAATAATAATATAAATCCTGTATTATAATAATATAATAATATATAAATCCTGTATAATAATAATAATATAAATCCTGTATAATAATAATAATAATAATATATAAATCCTGTATAATAATAATAATATATAAATCCTGTATAATAAT